TAATAAACAGGAAAACAAGAAATAGTAAGGCATTTATTATACAGTTTAGAAAGAACTAGAGCTAGTTCAGGAGCACATTTCTTAAGAACTATTGCAGGGGTACCATAGAGTCCACATGCTTCAAGAGGATCTAGTTTAGTGATGATAGCAGAAACTATGGACAGTTATATGCATATCATTCAGTAGGGACTCAGTTCTAAGTGGAAAGTCAAGCAAAGATACTCCAGATGAGTCAAGAGTATAATTTAAAGAGAATTTACAAACAAAACATTGTACTTTATCAGCAGATGTTAACACCTTGTTCTTGCTTACTGTGATGATAGTTACGGAAAAATAAAGATGAATTTTTCTTTTATATACCCATTAAAAATTATTACTGCTTTTGTAAATAAAATTATTTAAGTAACACACATAAACCAAAAAATGAATTTATATTATTACTTGGAATAATGGTTATAAACAATTGCTTAATCATGATTACTTACTGATATTTCACTCATTAAAGATTTGCATTCTAAGCCTGATTTGCTAAATGGGAGTAAAAAGATTGTTGCACTAATCTTCCAAGTAGGAAGGATCTAGATCAACTAGTAATGTTTTAAATGGTCATCACTCTCAAAATCAGTGAAATATTTGATGGTATCTTTGTTATCAAAGCAATCAATTCGGGCTCTCGCTTCAGTCTTACTCTCTTTCTGCTTTTTATTAGGAACATTCTCAGATCATTAAACATCTACCTTGTTCTGCCTAGGAACATTCTCAGATCATTAAACATCTATGCATATGATACCACTGTTTATGGATGCACTTTCAAAAACCAAGATGATCAGAGACATGCAATTGATTTCTCTCCTGATCTAATTCTAACAGCTCAACAAGAAAATAACTGGTTTGTAACTCTCGATACCACAAAAATGAAGCTAGTGTGATTTCAGATCACTGTTCAAATCCCCAATGAGGCTCTGTTTTTGAACATCTATTGGGTTTAAAGTTCACTCCAGACCTCAAGTGGAACTCTCATATATACATTCCATTGCTAGAGATGCTGGAAAAATGGTCACTCCTATTACTTTAAGGAGTATTTGACTCCTATGCTTTATAAATAACCAAAATTAGTATTAGGCCCAAAATGGATTATTGCTGCCATATCTGGACTGGAGCTATTTGAGCCTCACATGATAGAATTCAGAATCGTTGACAGTTTTGTGGATGAAGACTTATTTTCCACTCAGTAAACTATTTTCTACAGATGCAACTTTGCAAGCCTGTCACTACCACTATTTCCATGACAACAGACACACTCCATTCTTTAGTTCCATCAGTTTAGACTTCTACAGATAGAACACAGCATGCCATTTCCGCAGTCAAATCACCTTCATTTCTTACATGTTCCAAAGAAGAAAGTTACACTCAGAACTTTTTCCCCAAGAACTGCCACTTTATTGAACAGTCACTAATGTGAGTGCTTCCGGGAATGATATAATCTTAACCTCTTCAAGACAAGGGTCAATTGTTACCTATTCTCTTTATTTTTACTTCCTGCCACCTCTTTTACATTCATATAACATGCTTCATTCATCATTACCATTTTCACTGTAACCCTCTAACTTGAGTAGCTCTCAAGTTTTGTATTGGATGAAATTTAGTTAAAAACAAGCTATCTAAAATCACTTTTAAAAATCTTGGCTTTTACACTGAGTTTGAACATCAGCTATTAATGTGTTGTAATTTTACTCGTAGAAAATACAAACATAATGTGTAGTAGTAACCCAAATGTTTCTTCTTGGACTGGTAGCAAAAGTGTTCTTCTGCTTAAGGGGTAATAAAACAATTAGGATTGGTCAGAGAAAAGGCAAAGGAAGGATGTCTTTGTTCTTATATTTTGATGAACTCTTAGATCTGTTTCCATTTTGTTTATTGTGTGTCTGCATGTGTTTTTCATACATACATACTGTCTTATTATATGGAATCATTGTGTGGGTGTGTGTGTGTATATATATATATATATATATATATATATATATATATATATATATATATATATAACATCAAAAAACATAAGGAAAATTAATTCCTTTTAATAATATGTGGAAATATGCACTCTTTGTGTGATAAAGGTCCTGATACCAGAAACAAGTATAGCAAAAATATGGAAAATAAATATATATTTTTTAAAAAATCCACATTATAACCAGAAATGTTTGCAGTTTCTCTCCTCTTTTTAAAAAATATATATGTATATATATATATTCGTTAATGGTTTCAGGCTGGATGTAGGTGACACTTTTGTATATTTAGTTAGTGCACTCTCTAGGGATGGCTCACTGGATACAGAAGTGAATTACCACATTGAATGAGCAATTCAAGCATTCAGAAAACTTGAAAAGAGAGTATGGTCTGGTCGTAACATCCCCTTAAGCACAAAGATCAGCATCTATGAAACAGTTGTCTTAAGTACTCTTTTATATTCCTTTGAAGTGTGGACTATTTATTGAAGGTAAATTTAGTGTGTTTTCACCAACAGTGCCTGAGACAAATCATGGACATCAATTGGCAGTCTTGTACACCAGATAAAAAATACTTCAATATGCAAGCATAGCCAGCATAGAGAAACAACTACTCTGTAATCATATGTGCTGGACAGGTAATCTGACATGTATTGAGTATGGCAGATTGCCTAAAAGATTTTTAGGGTGAGTTGGTACAAGGTAATTGACTTGCTCATAAGCCCAAAAACATTTCACAGATGTAGTTAAATGTAACCTAAAGACTCTCGGTGTTAATGTTAAAGACTGGGGAAACTGTTGCTGGGGATAGATCTGGCATTTTGGCAGCTGGTTTAGCCAATCACGTGAGATCACACCAGAGAAGTCGGGTGCAACCCTGCTAGAAAGACCTCAAGATTATTTGTGTAAGTTTTGTGAAGTTTTTGTAAGGTTTGTAAGTCTGTTGAGAGACATGATTGTACATGCAACATGCAAGTTTTCAACATAGGATGTGTGCAAGAGTGGTTGTAAAAGTGTAGCTGGCCTTAAGAATCATTTATAGGCACACAGCAAAGTGTTAGCTCTGGTTAAAAAAAAAAAAAAAAAATGATGGAAATAAAAATTTGGAATGAAACTATATTTATGGATAAAAGTGCTCAATATCAGAGATAGAGCTTATGTAAAAGTGAACACCAAGGTTAACACCAAGCAGTGACATTCCATTTCATGCTTGAACACAATCTTCAGTTCATGTGTGTTATTTTGGCTCAACTATATATACTGATCAATGGTGTATTATTGATAATAAGGTCTATTGTATTCTAATATTTATTGGGTAGGCAGTAATGATTATTAATTTACTCTATAGGCTATTGAGTAGGAATAACTGTGAATATTAATGTAGTTATTTGTAGCTATTTTATCATGTCATTAACTTTCTACTCCTGATTTATTATTGATTACTTAATTATTTTTTTTATTGATTATTATTATAACTACATTTACTTTTGTTTATTTGTATTCGTAGTTTGTTAATTATTTACTTAATTTGTTTATTCAGATTTTGTGTTTGTTTATTTTTTTCTCAGGGGTTGGTTATCTTACTTGTTTAGTTTTAGGTACTGGCTTTGCCTAAAGTATGTTGAATTATCTGCATTGTATATATTTGCATTTATCATAGTGGTATTTTATAAGGTATTTGTCTTATTTTTTTATTTTTAAGGAACATAGTAAAAATTTGATTTTGTGTGTGCATTTTGAGATAATTTCTGATCATTTATTTAGAAATTTGTGTTGGTCTGGGAAGGTGATTATAGCTATTTTCTCCTTTAGACAGTTTAGTTTTTGGATTTATTGTTGTAAGCTGATTTCTTTATTTTCCATAATATTTTTGGTTTAATTTGGTTTTGTTTTTTAATTCCCCATTTATATTTAGAAAGCATTGTGCAGTTTGTATATTTACTATTTTTAATGGATATTTTGCATACATCGTTTCTGTTACCAGGCTGCTTCAGTTATTCTCATATATTTTTTCTTCATTATCTGCTGATTTTACAGAGGCTTGGTATATTACATTGTTTTGCAAGCAATTGTCATTTAAGAGGCATTTGTTCTTTAATCCACAGTTACAGGTGGGTTTGCTTTGTGCAGTTGGTTTGTTGGTTATTTTTCTCTAGTGCTTTTTTATTATTTGTGTCATGTTCTCAATGCATCTGTGACAGATTTTTACTGTTTCTATTGAATATTTTGTGAAGAGTACTAAGTCTAGGGAAGTGTTTGTGCATGAGTGTAATGAATATTTTTTCTAAGTTTGTTTTAAGCTTTTGTTGTACAGTGTGTTAAGCTATATGATGTCTTTTTTTTTTGTTAGCTTTTTTTTTGTTAGCTTTTTTTGTATGCAGTGTGGTGTGTATGTGAGTGTTGCTGAAAATCCACTATCTTTTAGGGCTGTTTTATAATCTTTTTTGGCTTCATTGAAGATGGTTTGATTGGAAGAACTGTCAAATAACCTGTGTGACTGTTGGATCTGCTTGATTATTGTTGGTGTGTGGTTTAGAGTTGCATATATGTAAAATGGTTTGTTAACAACACTAAAAAATAGCTACAAATAATTACATTTAGATCCACAATTATTCCTGCTCAATATCCTATAGAATAAATCAAAACTTAGCCATTACCACTTACCCAATAACTTAGGATAATACAATAGACCTTATTACCCATAATGCACCACTGACCAATATATATGAATAGTTGAACTAAAACGCAACATACATGGACTGAAGATTGCATTCAAGCATGAAACAAACTGTTGCCACTTGGTGTTGAACTCAGTGTCCACTTGTATATATGTGATGGAGAGACAAATGTCTAATGCATATGGCTTCTTGATCAAAATCAAGCTCTGACAATTGTTTAGACTAATTGTGCTTACTATGTGTAAACTACAATATTTAGTGATGAGTTTCTGCATCATGCATAATCTGTGTAATAATTGTTTTTACTCTTTTTCAGAAACCCAAAGTGCTACCCTGTAATGGGACCCCTATTGGTCCACCCCCCTGCTGAAGACAACTATGGAACTGATGCTTGCTCAATTCTTTGCCTACAAACCACTCCACCTGTTATTGTTATGGCTACCTGTGAAGGCAAGCTCCACCATTGTATTGTGCTAAATGAAAACAACAATACAGAACCAACAAGTCCAAGTGCTTCAGAATTAGCTAGTAGTTCTGTAAGTAAACTTACTTATATAAATATATTTGTAGACTTACTGTTTTTCAGTGACATTGATAATACATTAAACTAACTTTTTTCTCTGCCCTTATAAAAAAACAAAATTGTGCATCTTAATATAATGATACAGTATAGTCTGGCTTAGATATAAACATTTAAAAGCAATTTTTTTCTACTTTTTCCTTTTGCTAAGTGAAAATATTGATTTTTATTTCATATTCTTTTTGGTTGTAAGTATTATATAACAAATGCCAGCAAATATAGGAATATGCAAACTCGCACATACACAATGTTATGGTATTTATCTCCTGACATAATCATTTATTCTGAAAGTATGCACATTTGTTATAATATAAAGCTTCTGTGTGTGGATGCTTCGGCATTCAAGTGTCTATGTAGTTGCGGCATGTATTTTATTTTGTGGATTTCTTTATTCTTGTTATAATTTTTTTTGTACATCTATATATTATATATAATGTGTTTAAGGAGCAAAGTTTGTATACACCTGCCTCTTCTATATATAATGAATATAGGTAGGGATGTTTTGAATTTTCTTTTAGTGATTGTTTGTGTGTGAAAGACGAGGAAAGCTTTTTATACTAACGCGTGTCATTCCTCGATAAAATTAAAAAAATCAAATACATTAGCAAAAAAAGAGAATGCATAATATGGCAAGATCAGTAGTTGAACAAGGCTAGTATGCTCAAACACTTGGTCACAGGGACTAATGTACTAGTATAATTGCTTACACAATTTCACACATAAGATTTGGGTTAACAAATGGTATGGTTTTCAGGCACTTCCCAGCAATGCCACATGCTGGGATCATCAAAATGGCCAATATTTTCAATACATCATCTTATTGACTAATCTATCATGGCATGTTTTGAACCCTGGTCTCATAGTTACATGGTTAAATGGTTAGCATGTTAGCATTCTGATATATAAAAACATATATATGCACACACACATACACACACACACACACACACACACACACACACACACACACACACAATATATAAATATCTGCCTGTCAACCATCAATACAATCAAAACAGAAATTTTATAATGTCAATATCAATGTAGTAACAAACCATTAAAATTCAGCTTCCATTTTCTGGACTTGTTTTTAGTATTCTTTGTTTCTTTTTCATAAACTAGCAAAGAATTTAAAGTTGTGGCTCAATAGTAAATAGTAATAACTGCAGAGTAAAAAAATAATAATCATCATAAAATTCTACTGATAGTATAAAAAAAAGAAACTAAAGTTCTTTCTCCACTATATATATGTAGTTGAGTACATACAACTGTTTTTTCTTTCATTTTCTTTTAAACAAACATTTTGTTATTATGAACAGAAAGGAATGCAAATGCAATGAAAAGTAATATTGGTTATATTTCTGTTTGCTTTTAATATTAGTACATGCAATCACTATGTATGATGTAGTCAACACAAAAACATTGTTTGATCATATCTACATAGATATACTTAAGTATAAATGCTTCTTAATTGCTCTATATGCAACAGATGATTTCTGTGTACATCTTAGGAAGAGAAAGAAACATGAAAAAACACCCATGTTGTGAGATATAATTTCAGGATAATAATATAAAAAAAAAACTATTTTTGTGAGGAAAGGTTATGAAAAAGAGGATATGCTCTAAATAAAGTCTAAAGAATTTTTCCTGTATACAATGTTTTATACTGTTAAAACTGAGAATGGGCATGTTCTGCTTCTTTTTATTTATTACTTTATTTTTATAAATTATGCAGTTATATTTGCCACATTGTGAATATGACAGAACAACATGAAGTAGTTCATTGTGGAAAGAAATATGCCCATAAACTCACATATACATTAACATACATGCATAGAGGTAAATACTTGAACATATAGCGATCCACCCACTTAATTACTTATTTATATAATAGGTTAGTGGGGAGTCAGAAATGTCTTTGTGTGGTGGTGGTGGTGGTAGTGTTGTTCACACAGGATAATTTTTCAACTGTTTAAAGAATTACTGTGTTGTATAAGACAAAATGTACAGAGCTAATAATTCAAAACATAAGCTAATGGGTCTTCTCATCAAGTTGCAGTAGTATCTTTTATAATTCTTTTTATATCCTATTTAATATGCATACTGTTTTTTTTTCTTTTTTTCTGTTCCTTTGAACATTATTGAACCAACTTTATTGAAAATTTCAATGTAATTCACTAGTCAACCTAAGAATGGCTTTTTTCTTTTATCATCTCAGTGATTAATATAAGACTCTGGTCTAGCTCTTAATGGCAGGTGCTTTACTAATCTCTTTTTTTTTTCTTTTTTTTTTTTTACACTATTTTTTTGAATTGAACAAAAAGTTTGGCTCATTAAATAAATATAAAAGATAATTTTTTATTTCTAGCATTTACTTCAATGAGCAACATATTTAGCATTTTCTGCCTATTTTCTGTCATCCTTCAGGCAGTGTCATAATTCCATCCTCTTATAAATCTCAGCAAAGAACTACACTATGTGCCTTTTATGATCTTACAGTGAAATGAAATTCATTTTATTAAAAGAAATTTGTGAAGACCAAATAAATGTTAATTTGAAAGAGAACTATTTGTTAAATATGACATGAGAAAATCTTCAGTCAATCTATAACATTTTGCCATGTCACAAAAAAAAATGTGCAGTCAGATGAAGCCTTATCCTTATTGAATGTTACACCTTTTCTCTAAACTAATTCTGGATTCTTTTTTGTCCAATTGAGAGCAAAGCTTGTTGGAACCAATCATATAATAGAGAGCTTCTTTTCCATCCCACCATAAACACAAATTCACCTCCTTTGGATGAAAAGTAATATTTTTATGTTTGGTAGTGGTATCCACTTTTCATCATCTGTCACAGTGTTTTATTTTTGGGTAGGGACTATCAAGTAATCAATCATCTGATCACACTCAATCTTTGCTTCAAAAACAAAAAATACAAAAGAACAAGCTCAAAGGTCAGTAATGAGCGTCACAGCACCTGTTATATTCATTTACCTGGATCCACTGGGGAAAAATTGCTGGGATGAAGAATTCTCTCTTTAAATTTTGCTGGAGTATTTTGTTAGCTTTCAGTTTGTATCATTCTGTTGGTTTTCAGTTTCATAAAATCTATCTAATAAAATATGAATGAGTTTTATTACAAATTTTCACTGTAATTAAAGAAAAAAAACAGAGCCTGCCAAGTTTTAAATGTTTCATCTTGTTCAGTAATTGTTTTACTCTTAGCAACCATTGTCCTCTTGTGATTGTCCTGAAATTAACTGCCCTTTCCTCATCACATATCACTTGTACCAAATGTCTTTATGCACGACATTGCGAATTGTACCATTGGACACCTGGAAATCTCTGGCAGTGACCCTCATGGATGTTCTGGATTCGCATCAGTAATGTTCTACATCTGCTTTTCAAATTATGGTGTCCTGATACTTCACTACAGGTGACACATCCCCACTAGAGGCTTCTAACACCTTTTAACCTTTGTGCACAAATGACCAGGGGACTTCCAAAAAACATGCAATCTGAACATTGCTGTACCTTACATGTTTCACACAATTACAGCATTCATCTGTGTTAGCTGATAGTTTTCCATTAAAAGATAAGAGCATATTAATTGATTATTATATAACTGCAGGTGCACATGTCTTCAAATACATTAAGCACCCTGTACACACACACATACATATATATATATATATATATATATATATACACACACACACACACAAGGCATGTAGTTAGAACATTAATCTTTATCACTCTGTTTGTGACTTCATTTTCTGTACAAAAAGTTTATACTGTCACTGAAAGTGTATTTGAATTTCATAGTTGCGTTGTCATATCCTGCTATGGTAACAGAAAACAAGTTTAAGTGAAATTAACATTAAGAATACTGCAATTGAGAGTCCTTGAAAAAGAATGCAGTGGAAAGGGAAGTAATATTGATAATGCAGCATGCTAAAGGTTAACATTCTAACCCAAGATCAAATTCACCATGGAGCTTGTTTCTTGATAATATTAGGCTGAGGAGATAATCCCAGCATACAGTGCCATTAGGAAGTGCCCAAGAACTATATCATGGATTGGCCCAAACCTTGTAAGTGAAATTAGGTAGACAATGCTATTTGGAAGCTAGCAATTGTTCTGCTAGCACAAAATCATCATGACCAAGATTTTGAGCATACTAACCTTGTAAAAAAAACTAGTGATCATGTCAGATTGTGTTCTCTGCCAGAAACTGTAATTAAGACCTACCAGCATAGTTGCAGTATAAACAGCAGGTTGGATATGTGGGTGTTGAACAAATATGAATGTGCCTGAGCAGATATCTGCAACAGGAATTAGCCAGGAAGCCTTTTTAGACAGACATACTTAGAAATGAGTAGCCAGTCATGCTAATATATATCTAAATAAATTTTATTAAAAAAACCAACATGATCTGTATGTTTAATATTTTTTTGTATTTTTCCAATTTTCAAATAAGGTATTATAAATTGGGATCAGAATTGTGAACTGTCTAAAGTTGTTCTTGGTCAAGAACTTCTGCACAAGACATGGTCATTGATGTGTGCATGTGCAACACAGTTCAAAGTCAGTCTGTGCCAAGTGGCTTCACTCTTTGTCCTTTAGCTCTATTACCATAGCAACAGTCCTGATACTTTTTGATCAAACCGTGTGTGTGTATATATATATATATATATATATATATATATATGTGTGTGTGTGTGTATGTGTATGTAGTGTGAGAATACCTTTACGGTTCTGGGCAAAGTGGGCACGTACCTGTTTGGCATGTAAATCCAACATGGTTGATGTTGCAAGAGAGCAAGAAGTGGCCATTTACAATCATCCCACTATGCATGCATGACAATACTCTTTTTAATACTATTGGCAATTTGCATGTGTGATTGGAAATAGTATTAAATAGTGGATCACACAGTCAGTTGGCAGAGTGAACTCA